GTAGCTAGACGCAATCTAACTAGTCCAATGGCATGGCCAGGAAATTGCTCATGCATTTGCGAGAGGATTGATTTGATTGGTGACGCGGCGAGTTGAAAATATTCCAGGGTTATGGTTGGGGTCTATGGTTCCGTTGATCGCCTGGTCGGACAGTTAGCTTCCATTGAATGGCCAAGATAAAACAGCTCACCCGGAGAGTAAGTTGAGCCACGAAAGACTGCTGGATTCACCAAGAATGTCACAGCAGAGCCTTCCTTGCCAATTCGATTTTGCGTACAGTCTCGCCCACCTTGAACCCTCCTCTACTTGCGCAAACGGCTATGCCATCCCCAAGTTCAACTTTGTCCTCGACGTCGGGATGTGGACATGGGCAGTGGTGCGGGAAATGAACACAGGCAAGTGTATCCGGGCACAAGTAGTTGTTGCAGGTTGCTAAATCCGGGCGAGTCAGCTGTGGCCGTGTCCTGATATCTTGTGCATTGGAAGGGGTTCCCCGGTTTGGTGGGATGGAACAGGCCCAAACGCGACCCACACGAGGCTGCGAGTGCACATGGAAAGCAAACTCACCTCCGTTCCAGTTTTGACGATACCAGCTGGAATCGCTCGCGACATTTTGTTTTTCTTGGGGCGCTTGGTTCTGCTGACCACCCTGGAAGAACTGCTCGAAGAACTGAAATTGGGCAGAAACTAGGCCAGCCAGATAGAGTATGACGGTGATGAGCACCTTCATCGTAGTGGTTCCAGATAAGCAGAATGGCTTTTGTTGAGCAACAAGGGGAAGAGTTCACCAAGTGTCCAGAAACTGCTTGGGCCTTTGACGTGCCAGGTGTTGACAACAGCGAGATAACTCCTGCCAAGACCCCGCCAAGCTGCGGATCGTTTTTAAACCTTTGCTCCACACAAGACGCTTACTACTCGTTTATACTTCGACCAAACTTGTTTGTTACTCGTGGCTACTTACCCATCCATCTACCTACGGCACCCCGCGCATCCCATCCCTGACAGGCACCCTCTGTATACAAACCTACGTCGGTCAAGCGGCCCCTTCGTCCGAAAAAGACACAATGCTGTGTTTGCAGCCAGGGACCTGGAGCTGATTCAAGGGGCCAGTCAGAACGCGACCGGAAATAGAATTCAGCTGGATTGAAACCTTGACGGCGCGGAAGACCCTTTGCACGCGCGCCCCGAGGGTAGAGAGTCATCCATCGCGGACTATCGATAAGGGCGCATTCTTCTCTCGCCACGAGATTGTCGGCATCGGTTTCCTATTTGACTTCCGAAATCCCAAAATCCCCATCGAGTACCGTGGAATTAGTTATCCGCTAGAGCACAAGTAGCGAGTCTTGTTTTTGGGGAGCAAGCTTCATTTATGTAACACCTATGAGCCACCCATGAGCTGTAAAAAGAAAGAAAGAGAGAGAGAGAGAAAGAGAAGATTCGTGGAAAACTCATAGTGGATCTCGATTCCTGGCCTAGTACGGACACGACAACCAAGCTTGCCGGGCCCGAACGACTGGGACGTTGAAGATACGCTGAGGTTTCTAGACCATAGCTTGATGATCGGGAATTGAGTCGTCGGGTGTGACTCCCGACCAATCTTTATTGTGCCTGACACAGTAACAAATGCTCGGGCGTGCTTGACGATCACATGCCATAAGCACCTCGTCTGATACATCATGTAATGTTATTTTAACGGCATGATACGGAGTTCTGAACCAGGCCAGCATTTGGGGCTGGCATCGGTCGAAGATTAACGATATCACCAATTTTTGATCAACCCTCGTAAAGCTTTGCCCAAGCGAAGGGCATTCGAGTGGCGATTCCCCCTTCCATCCGGCCCGAATAAAAGCCAGGACGCCTGAGACTTTGGTGACGGGGATGAATTCGGCCACCATCCGTATCCCAACAACCCCAAGAAAAAGCAGGGACCACCTGAGAGGACGGACGTTGGCGGCATCAATTCGAGGAACTGAAGCAAGGGGCGGCTGGACTTGACTCGCGAGTCACGGCAAGCAGAGTCAATCCTGTGCAAATGTGCTCGTATACGAGTAAACTCCAAGTCTACCCGGTTCGGAGTATGGAACATTCTCCGATTGGGGTATGTACCGTTGAGATTGAATACCCCATCGGGGAGGATCTCCGGGGTTACACAAAAGCTTAGAGAGTGGCCAATCGCCACCCAATCAGTGCTCCTTGCGTCCGTCCACTGACCCATGTGGGACTTATATGCAGCTTGAAAAAGGACGTAAGTGGAAAATGGACATGTGCCATGTTGGTAGATTTTGGCGACAAGGTGGGACGAGCATCCCAATAATTTCCGAACAGTTTTCTCAGGGCCAAACCTTGTAGACTGCTGGGCTCTACACGGCTCGAAGACCATCCGTCAATTGCGCACATTCAGTGCTTGTGGTGGCTCGGTTAGGCTAGCCAGAGCGATCCAACCCTCTGGTACGATGGAGAGGGCGAGACCGCAGAGATTGAGAGGACGCACGTACAGAAATGGTCTCAACACTGGGGCTTGGGTGATGGAAACAGAAATGCTTCTTGGTAGTCGCTACTATGCGTCTGGTCGACCTGCTCAACTGGGTATAGCAGATCACGAAATGCGTAGAATGCTGAGTACCGTGCTGCTAGTGAAACATCCATTCTGCCTTGTTGAATTCCCAGGCATGTTTCAAGCTGGCAGACATGCGATGGCCTGACCTAAGAAGCAAGAGGTTAGTCAGAGCTATATGGCCACCGCGACAAACTACTCATTTGACCTAGCCACACAGTCCAGTGCTTGGATCTCATTTTATTCTACTATTGTGCCCCAAGCATGGAGTTAGTAGTGACTGGGATTGTAGGAGCACCTTAAATCGTTCACTTGCCGTGCGTAGACAATATGAGATCCGCGTGACATAGAAGTCTTCTTGCAATCCACGCTGTATTTTGGCTTGGTGTGAGTCCATCGGCAGGTCAACTGGCCCTGCCCTTTGCAAGAGACAGCCGTTCAGAGCAAGGATGCCCTTATTGACCCTGCAGCGTCTGGAAGAGCTCTTTGCAGCATCGGAAAAAGTGGTCTCTTAATGGAAAGCCCTTTGACCATGAGTTGGCCATAGAGAAACCATTTGCATAGCTGATTTTTTGACATGGAGTATATTGTTCTTCGAGTTGTGCACTCACCAGACAGCGGGCCAGAAATCGTTTTGTCAGGCTCCCACCTCCGTATTGCAGTGCTCGAAGACTGCCTCGATCGAGGATGCAAAGAACCGTTCATCAGAATTTACTGAATTCTCCTGCGATAAGAAGATGGCTTCTGGTCGCCTGAGTAGACTGCGGACGTCCCATGATCAACCAAGTAAGTGGCTGGTGTCCAAATAAGCTCGCATACTTTTAACGCCGAGGACTTGAAGCCTATCACAAACCTCTTGTCCATTACCAATTTGGAACCTCCTAACGCGTGCCAATGCCAGAATAGTCGTATAGCCGAAGACATCAGCTTCTGTAAGCTGATTTGAGAGAGTCGAGGATGCCCCCTTCACGTCAAGGTTGCAATTCCCCTTTCTAGAAACGACAACTTCAAATATTCACGGGCAGTCATCCCGGTCTCGATGCTATTAGTAACGATCTTGTCGTCCGCGTCCAATGAACGCACCGTGGACTCCAAAATAGCAGACTCTGGCACTGAATATCCATCACATCCAATGTGTGGGTTGACAGGATAGGAAATCCTACGTGAAATGCTCTGCTTCAATGTGTTCTACGCCTCACGCGTGGGTGTGTTTAAAGCCCTTGCCGGATAAGGATCAGGATCCAGCACCCGGATCTGGAAAAGTGTTTGTTCAGTGTCGGCGAAGCTCAACCCCGCCACATATGTCCCTGCTCTTGACAGTCACTTTCGAGCGTTTCGTACAGGTTCATGCCTCCATGAAGATATCGGCACGAGTGCGAGTCTGGGGGTGGATACAACACCTCTGTACATTTGCCAAAGTATTGTCCGTAGAGAAGGCTCTATTTTCGGGTCCATGCGCGAGCCGTTCGTAGATCGCTGGGGAGGGGAACGTTCTCCGAATAGTGTCACACGATCGAGATCGGACATGCTTGGGCGCTTCCCCGCGACCACAGCCTTGCCAGGCTGCCAGGATAGGGAGTATGAACGCCGGTTTCTCGAGGTACCAAACCGGCAGCTTGCTTTGAGCATGAGGTCGGCGAATTGAGTACCTGACAAGAACTCTGCTTTCGTGGGATCCTCAGCTCGACTGTGAGCAAGACCACAGAGGCCAAGCGATGCACAAAGCATGAAAAGTGTCTGGAGTCAAGAGAAAAAGCTGTACGCGGGACGATCAATATCCCACTAAAGCTCTGGGACAGAGGGGTATCGTTAGGCAGGGCTCTGTTGGTGGATCTCTGATTTCAATGTCGGCATGTACATGAGTTCGAACACTTGAAACGGTGCTATCTCTAGCTGGTCTAATTGACCAGCTTCCGCATATTTGACAAGAGAGTTGAAGCTGCTTGAAGCAAGCTTCTGAAGAATTGCTTCGTTGTTTTTAGCATCCAGATCGCGCTGACGCGTCGGCTTTGTTGCGCTAAATGCGCTAAATGGATCGCCCGAGTTTATACGGTCGAGTTTGCGCACCAGGCTGACATTCTCCAGTTCACGTGTCACTTTCTAAGCTAAACATGGTAAGCTTCGTTTTCAATTGGCTGCTCCGTCTCAATGTATGCTTGATCTTCTCATAGACATCTTCGTAGGGTATTAGGTAGCCCTTTCAGTTGACCACTACTTCCACCATGCTCCAACCTCGAATATACAGACCTCTGGTGCCATCGGAGGCGTCTCTAGCTGTGCTGGCTTCGTCTTTGAGTTCCTTGAGTCTGTGTCCGAAACACGCGCACCTGAACCCCCGGAGCTCAACTATTTTCGTTCGACATGCTTCCCATGCACAACAAGGCCGCGCAAACGGACCCTCCGATTCCGCAGGAAGACGGCTGGGAGCCAAAAAGGGGTCTTCGGAATGGGTCCACCCAGGGAACATAATCTTCAAACAAAGAGGCAAGCAAGCAGAAGTTTCGACCACTTTTGAAACCTCGCAGATAAAAAAAATCCTGACTCGTTGTTTGTTACAGGGACGAAATGGTTCCCCGGCGAGAATGTCGGCATCGGCAAAGACCACACCCTCTATGCCCTCGAATACGGCTACGTCCGATACTATCGGGATCCCCTGAAACATCCCAAGAGACGATACATCGGTGTGGCGCTGGAAAAAGAAGGACCGAGATCTCAACTTCCCACGCCGCGCAACGCGCCCTCGCGCAGACGGCTAGGCATGTACGCCACGCCTATGAAACCACCACCGCAGTCTCAAAAGTCTGTCGACGAATCTTTCCTCGAGGCTCATCTGAGCCAGAGCAGCAAGGGCCTCGGCCAGGTGACCTTCAAGTCTTCCGGTGCTGCTACACCTGCTCCGGCGGCACCCCCAACGTTTAATCGGCAAGGAACGTATAGGGAGGCAAACGCATCGATTGGGTGGGCAGCTGAGAGGAAGGGAGTCAAGGTGCGCGAGTACGATCGCAACGATCGCTGGCTGGCCTGGAAGAAACGATCACTCCGAGTGAAGCGAGGAATGGAAGCTAAAGCCGCCAGAGCCATGAGGAAGACCAAAGGCAAGAAATCCAATAAAGGACCGAAGACTGCCCAGAAGAAAAAGTAGTGATGGAAGTTTGCGAGAGTGCGACGCAATTGTACAAGTACATGAGCAGCACCATCGTCCTAAATGGCCATGGTTATGGGGCATATTCCCAGCTCACAATAGCCACTGGGCGATTTTTCTTGATGTGTGTTGAGATAATCAAAAAGAATCTTTTGATCTATATCGGAGCCTGGCCAAAGTGTCTACAATGTATCATCTTCAGAAGGTTCTTCCAGTCAGAACATCCATAAGGGTACAAGCGAACCAGACACTGGAGACCATTTTGTGACCACAATGCGTTCGTCGCCTGACTATAAACCATTCTCGGCCTTGAATTTGTCCCAGGCCTCGTTCAGGGCGCTGAAGACGGCGCCGGCAATCATTCTCTGTTCGGTGGTAGCGTTGGTGGGAATCTAGAATTTTCAGACCAGCGTCAACATCGATCGCCTTTTCACCATATATCCAAGCTCAGCTGGCAATATTGACCCGAGTAGGAGTGGCAATGATGAGATAAATACGTACCTTGTCAGGATGCACTTTACCGATGCCCTTCATGTACTGAATCTTGACCTTGCCAGGAAGGACCAAATCGGCCATGCTTATCTTCTTCCACCCACTGCCTTCCCAGAGCACACTGTCCAGAGAACCCAGCAAGGCACGGAGATTGTCCTGTTTGCCGGATTTCCACGCATTGATGCGTGCATCAACAGACTCAGAGAGACGGAATTTTTCGTCGTCGAGCTTGTCCGCAGCAAGGTTTGCGGCGCGCAGACGAGAAACAGCTTCCGCTGGCTTGACGCTTGTAGACGCAGGGGCGGGCGGTGATCGGCGGAGGGCTGACGAGGCTGGAGCCGAAGCGGGACCGGGCTTCCTCGCTGCTGTTGTAGAGGTAGGTTTGGGTTTCTGTGGGTTCGCTGCCTTCTCTGCCCTCATTCTGCCTTGGATACTCGTCGCACCGCCGTGACCTCCTTCCACAGCTTCTCTCCAGACAACAGCGGCCTCGGTCCACTTCTCCATCTGCTCTAGTGCTTCAGCTTTGCGCATGAGCGCCTTTCCATAGTATTCGCGCATTGGCTTGTTACCCATATTGCCTGGGCTGGTGACCTCTATGTGCTCATTCTCACCCTTCGATGGTCCTATGATCATTATGGCCTTGTCGGCATCCATGATGGCTTGTTTAGGCTCGCCTATTTTCAGCGCCGTAAGAGCACGGTTTGTCAAAAGCACAATGGTTAGCGGATGGGATTCCGGTAAGTGCGACAGGGAAGTTGCATAAGACTGGTGTGCCGACGCATAGTCACCACGCTTGAAATGTTCGTTACCTTTCTCGCGGTGGGAGTGACTGGCTTGGAGAGCGATGCTGGGGATGGAAGGGACCTGACGGGTGGGAGCTGGAGGTCGGACTTGAGTTGCAGTTGGGTCGACCCGTTGTTTGACCGGTTGAGATTGAGATCGAGTAGATGGTTTGTTCATCTCCACATGAGTTGCCGCTGCGCGTGGAAGGGAGGAAGAAGAGTCCTTGAAACCACCTTCGAGAAGATCCGAGTTCAGGACGGCTGCTGGCGGTGCATCATGAACCGAACGAGGTGGTTGTTTCCGTCGTCGAGCTGAGCTGACATACGCTTGAGCAGCCTGTTCCTCGGCAGCTGCGCGGGTTAGACTAGCTCTTGAACTCGCGGCAGGGGATTGGTTTTGCTGTCGTAGAAAAGCTGGCTGGGTCTGAGGAAGTGAATCACGCAGCCGTGAGGGTACAACGGGCGACTGATCCCGGGAGTTGTCAGCACTCGAGTCAAAATGTCGCACCGGTCTGGAGGAAGTGGAAGGTCGTGATGCAGAGGTTGGTCGGTTGATTTCCAGCATCATCGCCTCATCCGTCATGCTTGCTTGGCTGGGGGCTTCTGCGCCCGGTCTACTTCTTCCACGTCCTGACTCGACCACAGGCTGTCGTTGTGGCTGTTCCTTTCTGGTCGGTCGCTCTGCTACTTCCCGCATCCACCGGGGTTGATTGCCAGCCTCAGTTTCAGAATTGAATTCCTGGACAGCTTGCTGAACTCGTTTCGTCCCTTGCTTCCACAATGAATTTGCCGTCTTCAAGAAGTTACTGCCGAATTCTGTTGCAAGCTGTTCGAAATCTTTCTCTCCATTTTGAGTGGAGCCTTTTGTACGTCTGGGGCCTTCTCCGTTATCCCATGGTGGTCTCGTCCTCGATGCATGGGCTTCATTCCGGGAGCCTATCCTGTCATTGTCCGAATCTCCTATTTGCCCAGAGGCAGTTCTTGACTGAGCTTTTTGCCGCGCCTCGGCGTGGGCTTGGTTCAGTAAGTAGCCCACGGCGGCCTGGACATCAATTCCTGATTCCGTCGCCTCTAAGGCGACTTTTGCCTTGTCCGCCGGGAATCCCATATCAACCAGCTCTGCCACAGCTTTGTCCTGCGGATGACGGTCGGTGGCCGGGCTTCCCGTGGCTAACGGAGGAGATTGAGATTTTGCAGTAGAAACAGGCTTTCCAAGAAGCCCGAGCACGTCGTCATCATCACCCGCAGCGGTGCTCGCCGTCGCCGCAGTATCTGCCCGCCTAGGGGGAAGTTTTGAGAGTCCGAAGGGGTCATCATTGTCGTCAATGTCCACATGCTTTTTTGGAATGTATGCAGTAGTAGCGTCGTTTTTAGGAGCGGTGGGTTTATTGAAAGCAGCAAATAGATCGTCGTCGGTATCGTCTAACTCGTGATTCTTGTGGTTCGTGGTCTGATTCTTTGCGGTATCGATCGCAGGCGTCCCCCTCCCACTACCCAAATTGTTCCAAAATTGATCATCTCCGCCAGCAAACTGATCATTCAATCTCCGAGCCTGGTCTTTCTGCTGTTGTGCCTTAGCCTCCACCTGTAACCTTTGCTGTTCTGACAACGAGAGATTCTTATGCGACGCCGGTCCGAAGGAAACGAGGTTCGCGAAGCTATCGTTTCCGGGGGTCGACGGCTTGGAGGGAGGCTGACTCGTCGCCGAATTGAATGGAGAGGCTCTCCCTGAGGTTGGCGGAGTAGGTTTTAATGTATTAAAGGCAGAGAAGTTCGATGTCGCGGGTGCGGGTTTCGAGTTCTGTCCGTTCGCCGGGGTCGCGCTCCATTTCAACCCCGCTATATCCTCCATTGTCGCAAAGACTGAATATTCATGAACAAGGGTTGAACATGTCTAGAGCGGCCATTGTATGCCCGATAGTATCACCGAGGAGTGACGCGGTGTGTTCGGAGAGGGCGGGAAGGAACTTGAGCGTGTGCCGTTTAACAACGGATATTGATGCATTTGTCCCAATGGGGCGGGAGACTGCGCCACACTTGCAGCCACATCTCCCTTTCCGGGGATAACTTTGCCTAGGTTATGTACTAGGTATCCGCACTATTACTTGTGGCCTGTGTGGTCACGGTGGTTTAATTCAGGGGAGTGTCAGAAACTTGTCTGTCACCTGAGGGAAAAGAGCTTCGGAGATCAAAGTACAAGATCATAATATCATCAAGGTAGGCTAACAAAATCCAATATCCAAATGCATCGTCCCTCGTTACCTTTGGGCACTCAGGCAGGCTGGAACTCTGAAGTCAACCACCTGTTCCGCGGGACCAAGCTGAGCCTTTCCAAAAACACTCATATGGTATTCTTTAGGGCTCTCCAAGTCATCCTCACCACGTAATACCTCCGTTTTAGGACGTCCGCTCGCATAGGCTGCTCGTTCTTGAACTGGTAGTCATCCTTGAGGTCTCGCACGCCCTCCCAAGAGGATTCATCCAGCTCGCCCGTCCACTCGAGAATGAAATCTTCTTTTACTAATGGGAATATCCAGTGCTTGGCTCTTTCGACAACTACCTGTAATTGCGACTTTTTGCGCTCGTCGGTCTCAAATTCCATGACCAACTTTCTCAACCCTCTGATTCTGCATACTGCTCCTCCCCAAGTTCGTTCACTCATGTGATCGTTGATGTAAGTTAGACTTGGCTCAGGAGGCTCAGAAAGCATCTCCTGACAAGAGGTTCGATCAGGACGCCATGGACAGATGCCTAGACAGTCACTGGAACCGAGGGGAGACTCCCAGGACCACCAGTCAGCGTGGCGAAGCGTTAAATGAAGGCAGGGCGTTCCGAAAGAGAACTGCCAGGCGTCTGTTGTCAATAGGTTCTCCAAATAATACTGTTGGGTGAAGATGTGAACTGTTTGTATTGCGTTTTTCTGGTCCTCGCCCAGACTGTGATACCAGGGAGTCCATCGAGCCGTATTACGATTATTGCTGGAAGTGGATTTCCATGGACCATTGAACAGCCAAAAAACATGCTCGTTGACCGAGATGGGCAAGAGACGGGTTTCGCGGTAAACCCTCCTACAAGTCAACAGCAGAGAGCAATCGATCTTCTGATGATAACGATAGTCCGGTCGGTAGTACTTCCGGTCGGCTCGGTACGGTTTAGTAGGGTCATCGTAGGAAGTCAAAGCAAGTTCGAAGATGGAAGCTCGGATCTCTGCAGGGAGTGTGAACAAGCCACTATCCCTCTGTTCATTCTCCATAGCACCGTAGATGGAGCCTCAAGCGGACATGTACTAGATGTGTACTAGGGTTCGCCTCAATGGACCGCGATTGACACAGCAAAGTCTCGGAATCAGAGCCGAGATTGTGGCGCTTGGTGTAAACAAAGACTGGGTTGTTTCAGATCGAGACGGTGCGATGGCGAGGAGGAAGCAAAGAATTGACGGACTGCTATCGATCAGGGCTACTTCCTAGCTTCACTGAAGGCCGGACACTGGGATTTTGATCGTGGCTGGTTCGCAGGCTGTCACTACTGTAGCAGAAATGGACGACCTGGAGATAAGGCCATTATATATTTTGAATTTGCAAAATCCAAAATCTTGGTGCCTGCTACATCTCAGCGAGTAGCCCTCGTAGCCAAGGGTCACTGTCAGGATCAGCGTACCTTGAAACATTGCTGCCTTGTAGGCGTGATGGGCGCGAGAGGATCCTGGAGATGTCCCTGCGTAACTTTGGAGGTCCCACTTCAAGGGCTGTGGTGGCGGCCACGCGAACAAAGGATTCGCAGGAATCGCAGGAAGATGGGTTTGGGCACTGGGGGCCATTGGAGAGCGAAATAAGCGCGACTATCCCCCCGAAGGCCAGCACAAGTCAACTAACGCGGGGTCTGTGAAGTTCCCAAAGTTGCCTGAACTTGGATCACGGAACCTGGCCAGTAGTGAAGCAAACGGCGCAGCCAGCCTAGGCTACTTAGCGAGGCTAACGGCCACCACCACCGCCAACAGTGCCCAGCAGTGCCAGCACAGGCCACAGCTAGGCTTCATTAGGCTTCAATCACCCCGCCAGAATCTCGGGGCGCCGGTTGTCTTGCGCCATTGCGTCCCGCGTGGCCGCAGCAATTCGATTGACCGTCAAACAATCCCCCTCTTGTTCTCCTGAACGCTGCATATCCGTCTTGAGACCTCAATCTAACGCGGTTGATATCTCAGGACAATGGACGGAGAAGGAATGCTTTGGGCTTGGTAGATAATATGGAGGCAACACATGCGATACACATTCCCTGTACTTTTCCCACTGACCACCTTTTTTTCACTCCTTCAGATTTCAGCAGCTGAAAGCGAAATCCGCCTTGTCTGTTTTCTCCCCTTCCCTCATCTTCCACCAGTAGTGATTCTTGCACTCTTTTCTTTCCCCTTCAGATTTCCCTGACGCCGATTTCATTCGTGTTCCCCTTGGCCGTTCTGGCTTCTCGCTCATTCGCTTCAGAGTCCTCGCTTCACCCTGTACTTCGGATTGCTTTCTCGCCAGAAAAAAAGCTTTGTCACGCTTCTTTCCTTACAAGTTCATCACCGCGTCGTCTACCCAGTCAAAGGTCTTTCAGTGAGAGGAAACAAGCAAGCAGACATCCCAAAAGATAGCGATCGTGCGAAGTGAGCCCTCATTCATCCCGTTTGGCTGCATGGCCACTGTCTCTCGATTGCCCCTTGCAGCTGATTAGCAGGGCATCCGGCTATCGGCTTTCCTGCATCTCCCCGCCCGCCGCGATAGGCCAGTCGTTGCGTCGAGAATCATTAGGTCTTATCCGACATGAAGGGAATTTTCAAGAGAAAAGATTCAAAATTACCATCAGATGACACCACACTTGACAAAACCCTTTTGCGCCCGGCCGTAACAGTCGAACGCATATCCAACTACTCGCACAAGTCGCCAAAGCTGATAAGTTCGAAATCATCCTCCCCATCGTTAGCAGGCACCATGCCGGAGATCGCCATTCCTGAGCCGCCCGATCCAACATCAAAACCAGCAGCATACCTCCGAAGCATCCATGCTGTTCGAGAAAGGACGAGGCTGGTGCTCGAGGAGGCCAAGGTCAATGCACTCAATCACTTTGATGTAGACATATCCAAGTTCAAGGACACTGCCGACTACGTGGTTGCCATCATCAAGGTACGCGGGGGGAAACATGTTGAGTCTTACCTGTGTCTAATCGTGTACAGCGTGATTTCCAGGGTGATTATGCCTCTATCCCACCTCATGGTCGCTGGCAACATTTTGAAGTCGGTGGGAGACCCAGGGTAACCCAGTTGTTGCAATCGTGGCCAACCTCAATTGACAACCAAGAGAGGGCCCGTCGATTGATTGACTTGTTCTTGGTGTCTGTACTCCTCGATGCCGGTGCCGGCACCAAGTGGTCCTACAAGTCCAAGGAGTCTGGCAAGGTCTACTCCAGGAGTGAAGGTCTGGCTGTAGCAAGCCTCGAAATGTTCAAAGCCGGAACGTTCTCCAGCGATCCTAGTCAACCTCACCAAGTGGATGCCGCTGGACTGAATAAAATGAATGTGGAGATTCTGGCAAAAGGGATGCAGGTCTCAGACACCAACCCTATGTCTGGACTTGAGGGGCGGACTGGGTTACTGACTCGGCTTGCGGCTGCTCTGCAGAATGCTGAGATATTTGGCGTTGAGGGCCGACCAGGGAACATGATTGGTGAATTCAAGCGTTTGTCTCTCTCTCGAATGTCTGCTGATTGCAAACAGACTATTTGTTATCACATCCTACGACTCAAGCAGCTTCGGTTCCTGTTATTCTCTTACCTACGCTATGGAGTGTTCTTATGGACGGTTTATCCAGTATTTGGCCAGCGACTCGAACCACTATTCAAGGGGTCTCTCTCGGTGACGCTTGGCCTTGCCGTGCTATGCCCAGATCCCCCCCAGCACAACCTTGGGAGACCATTGTTCCCTTCCACAAGCTTACCCAGTGGCTTTGCTATTCCTTGATGGTTCCAATGACCAAGCTGCTCAATGTTCACTTCGCCGGGGCAGAATTGATGACTGGACTTCCTGAGTATCGCAACGGAGGCTTACTGGTTGACACAGGCCTGCTCACGCTCAAGGAAGAGGACAGGCAGCGTGGGTTGAAGATCTACCATGAGATGGTCGGAGATGGCAATGCGATCGAAGTGGTTCCGACTTTCCCACCCAGCGATGACGTGATTGTGGAATGGCGCGCTGTCACTGTGGGCTTCTTGGACGAATTGCTTGTTTCAGTCAATGCGGGCCTTGGTCTGCAGGGCGCGCAACAGTTGACTTTGGCCCAAATGCTTGAGGCAGGAACTTGGAAGGTGAGCATGAGCAGAAAGATGATCAATGTTTTGCGCTGACAATGTTTGCTAGGGAGGACGTGAAATTGCTCAGGTGTCGCGCCCCATCACTGGAGGCCCTCCCATTGGCATCATTTCAGACGGCACCGTCTTTTGAGTGACGACTTCTACTGTGTTTATGCGATAATGGGTTACGCGGATTTTGAGGGTCACGAAAAAGCGAGATTCAAGACCGAGACCAGAGATTACGAGACGACATATGCGCTTGACGATGTTGTAGTATGGGTTACTTCACTGTGGCAAGTTTTATTCTTCACTTCAATGCTGGCAACTCTTGTTGAGCTTTGCAGAAGATGAGTCCAAGACCTCTACACTTCCGCAAGGTGTGACGGAGTGGAGAGCGCACCCGAACTCGGAGTATTACATTCAAAGTCATTATTGTTGGTGCATTGACTTGAAGATGCTCCCTGAAGACGGTTTCTTCTACTTGGGAGAGGACGTCCATAGGTCTCTTTGTGACATTCTCTTGTCTTTCATCTTTTTACTTGATAGCTGGGTGGTAAGCGACACCATGTGTCAATGATCATGCGCTGCCCTCTTCGCCTCTTGCTCCCCGAGACTTGGGTGAAGACCAAATCATGAGAGTTGGGAGGCAGTGATCACCTCCAGCCATAGTCCATTTCTCTACTCTCGCCTGTGATTCTGTAAGACTGTGACAAGGAAATTGTTGGATGTAGGAAGTAGCTTTGCAAACGACATATCTTACCAGGTGAGTCTGGCTGCTTTGTCGATTTCACATGTCCTGGGATGACCTCCTACATTGGGTAGCCTCGCACAAGCCCGGCAGCCTGGCACGCCTGGGTCTTGGTCCCTTAGTCGCAGGTGTCTCCGCACCGCAGCCACTAATTGCCCGATCTTGATCCCCAGCTATCCATCTTCCCCGCCTCACATGTACTCTTCCAGCACAACCATCAAAGGACCACGAAAAGTGCTTTGCACTTGAAAGGGTGGAGGCATCATGGACACGCGCAAACGGAAGAAGAAGGTCCTCTTGATGGGCAAGAGTGGCTCAGGCAAATCGTCGATGCGCTCCATCATTTTCAGCAACTATGTCGCGAAGGACGTCCGCCGACTCGGCGCAACCATTGACGTGGAACACAGTCATGCAAAGTTCATGGGTAACCTGACGCTCAACCTTTGGGATTGTGGAGGGTATGGCCTAGCAGAACATGCCCTGCTTCACGTTTTGTCCAGATGTGACTAACGCCCCTGTGTAGGCAAGACGCATTCATGGACTCCTACCTTAACGCCCAGCGCGAAAATGTCTTTTCCGACGCCGAAGTTCTCATCTACGTCTTTGACATCGAATCCCGAGCAGTCGATCAGGACCTTGAGACATATAGCCAGGTGATCAAGGCGTTGAAAGAATACAGTCCCAATGCGCACGTCTTCTGCTTGGTTCACAAGATGGACCTGGTGCAGAGCGAACATCGTGAGAGGATATACGAAGAAAGATGCCGCTTGATCATTGCCCGGTCGGAAGGTCTGAGCTTGGAGACATTTGCGAGCAGTATCTGGGACCAGACACTCTACAAGGCTTGGGCAGGCATAGTCCACAAGATGATTCCGAATCTGGTGGTGATAGAAAGATTTCTGACAGCCTTTGCGAAACAACTCAAAGCTGAGGAGATTGTCCTTTTCGAAAGATCTACATTTCTGACCGTGACGAATGTGGTCACGCAATATGGCGAGGATAACCCCAACCTTGACCGACATGAGCGAATATCGAATATCATGAAGAGCTACAAGCACACGGCGGCACGAAACACCAGGACGACGGCGGCGAGCGCAGGGTTCTTGCTGTTCAAAGTCCAGACTCCTCGCTTCAATTGTTTCCTGGCCAGATTTACGGAAAACACCTATATATTTGTTGCCATCCCTCCCGGAGAGGCTGCGTTTAATTGTGCGGTCTTGAACACGATGATGGCGAGAGACGCTTTTAGCAAGAAGACTGGCGTTGAAGGATGAGGTGGCCTCTGATGGGCAAATCTGCGATTATGTCTGGGCCCTCTACCCTGATTGCGGGTACCCATGCAGCCGAATCAATCGAGCTGAAAATCGGTACTTCCGAGGATGGTGAGTGCCGATACAAAACATCAAAGAACGGGCCGGTCCACCACGAGGTTGGACATGCAGTCCGCTTTGCTACCTGGTGCACGGTACAACGATTCACAGCGATGTCCGGGCATCCGTATCCGCCAGATTAGATCGAACTACGGAGGTACGCCAGCGGTACGAGTGACTAGGGAATCTCTGTGTACGACAGCTGGATAAGGCCTGCTTGGCTTACTCGGGGCGCCGAGGGAAAGGACAGAGCAGACCCTGACGTTGTTCCTGGACGGTGCTTTAGTATCGCCATCGAGTATATCAATACTTGGACTTGTGCCTCCGCCTCAAGGCCAATGTTGATACAACTGGACAATGTGTGTCGCTACCTTGCGATGAGGACGTTGTCCAGGGATGTGGCCGTGTCAAGGAAGCATGAAGGCAAGGGAGGCCTTATTATGGTAGCAGCAGGTCATGGAGCTTGGAAGCGACGTGTCGAAGGAATGACATATCTTTTATCCAGTGGGTATTCAGTGTTCAGACAAGATACAGAGGTGCACTCTCGGGTTGTCACAGTATAATGTACTAGGTGATTGAATGCGGAGGCAGGAAGCTGCGTGACCAATGACCGGCGTGCCAAGCAATCCGGAAGCCGACTTTCCCGACTTTCCCAATTTTCTTTCGACCTCATCGCGCTCAATCTCACTTTTCCCGCCTCCACCTTCGTACTTGACGTACGACCTGTGGACATCCCACCCTCGATAACACCGTACAAAGCATTCTTCGGTCGATCGGGTCACGAAACGTAGTACGAAGACTATGAGAAGACACATTCGGTGCTCTAGCCATGCCCAAAGAACGCCAGACATGCACCGAGTGCTCGATGCGCCGGCAAAAGTGTGACCGTAACCTACCCTGTGGTCGCTGTGTCAAACGGGGCGATGCTGCAAAATGCACGCGCGAGTGGCCTGAAGGCGGTTACGATCCTAAAGTTCACCGAATCTATCCTCGTTCCTCCACAGCAGCAGACGCCAGTCCCACAGCCACTGACACGTCTCCTCAGACCAACAATGTCAACCCGGCAGAAGCTGTTGTACACCCTTCCCTTCGAACTCCCAAATCCGTGACTTCTGGGCCTAGTCCACACGACCAAACATCGGCCTATCCAAGCAGTCTTGGAACCGCGCCAGCAAATGGCCCAGTTACTGACGTCGACAATGCCGCATCCGTACTAGAGTTCCTCACCTGGGGACGGAGCAAGCTATCGGATTATGATCTAAAGGCGTTGGATCTCCTCAAGGAGCCTCACCAATCTGGCACAGCGGCGCTTCCCAAGGACAACGGACCCGACTGGGATGTTTCAAACGGCCTTGGCGGGACTGGGGCGGCCCAAGTGTCGTTTCTACAACTACTCCTTCCCAGTCGTAAACAGGTATTTCAGTTGGTCGAGTACCACGTTAGCTCCATCTTGTGGTATCACGGGTGCTTCCATGGTCCCACATTTTACGAAGAGCTCAAAGAGGTATATAAAGGGCCCAGCGGACTGCAAGTCAGAAACATGGATCTCAGATGGACCGCCTTACTCTTTGCCGTAATGGCAGCAAGCATGACTTGTGCCAATGAGCAGCTGGCTATGAGCTGGGGCTTCAAGAAGAACGAAAGAGCCAAGCTGACCAGGCAATGGTACAAGGCTACGGTATCGTGCTTAAATCTTGCCGACTATATGTGGCGACATCATATCTACTCGGTCGAAGCCATTACCACACTTACTATGTCTGCTCATATCTTGGGGTTCAGCAACACTCAGAGCACCTTGCTGGGAGCCGCACTCAAGATCGCCCAAGGGCTTGGTCTGCAAAGACTGGGACCAGAAGACGACGGGAGCACCAGCGCTGGGTCTTCTGTTTTATTGACACCTGTCTTACGAGACAAGATAATCAAACGTGAAACGGGAAGGAGACTCTGGCAACAGTTGTGTATTCAGGATTGGTTCTCGATCCCCTTTTCCGAGATGTATTCCATCCAGAGGATACATTTTTGTTCGCTCAAACCTATGAACTGCGATGAAACCACCATGCTACCTCTACCCGATGATGTCCCAAGTATGACAAGCTTCCCGAATTTCCTTGGTGATATCGCAAGCTTGATGCCGCAAATACATGATGCAATTATCTCATCGAACACATTATACACCAAGTACGAACAAATTCTAGACTACGACGCACAAATGCGGGCCCTTGCGACGGACGGGCTCCCTCGCTACTTCTCCATGAGAGAACCACTCCAGCCAGAGTGGCCCGCATTTATCCCTTGGGCGCGACGGAGCTTGACCATTTGTTTTGCTCACAAGATCATCATGATTCACAGGGCGTTTCTGGGTCGCAGCTTTACAGAGCAAGCATTTGACTTTACACGTCGAACATGCATGGCAGCTGCAAAGACAATACTAAAAGAGGCACGACAGGCGTATGATGAGGAAGGACCTATGCTCTGGATCGATCAAGCTTTTATGGTCGCCGCAGGAATAACACTCGCCCTGGACATCTTCCACCGTGGACCCAACGAACCTGAGTACGAGGAACACCGGAAGCTGGTGGAGAATACCATCACAATGTTGGGCAAGTTTGAAAACAGCATGATTGCAATGCGCGGCATTCGTTTGCTGTCATCCTTGCTTGCTGAGCAGGCCCGGTTGACGGCTGATCAGACCCTGGAAAACTATAGAAAGCGCACACATGACACTATGACTGGAGATCACGGTCAACCCAAGCGGCAGAAATTCAATGTGCCCAAATTTGTGGAGTCGTTTGTTGGAAACGACTCATTCACACATACTCTGCGGTCTGCAAATCGAGGTGCCGAGCCGTCACTCGAACTGTATGAACCGACTGAAGCGAAGACACCTGGACCACAGGATCCGATGATTTCGTCCGACTTGGGATACGAGACATTTGAACAGCTCTTTCCACCCCATACCGGTATCAGTAACAACTTTCTCTTTGAGGATCTGCTGAACTTCGACATCTGAAAAGATTCCATGCTGCAAAGAATGGATGTATGTGCGAAGGTGCGACTGGCCTACAGTATCAGCGGCGTACGATTATCGAAGCACCATGATTGGACGATAAAAGGCGGGGAGGTGGGACGGCCTTATCCGTTGTACATACGAGTACACAAACTTTATCGATATCAGTTGGCACGAATGACGACTATAGGGTACGAGTGGTTGGCTGATATAAACATCCAGCTGAGTATCGTGTGGTAACTTCCTTTCTATCAATCTCTTCTCGACCACCTAGAACACGACGCAACTCAATCAGCTCCAGCCGCCCGGGTTGTCATCTCTCCCCATTCAATACCCACTCTAAACAGACAACCTTACATGTTCTATCGAGATGGGCGTCGAAAAGACCAAATACTTGGACCGTCCAATTCCCACCATTTCGCTCGCCAGTTACGAGTCCCGCATCGATGAAATCACCTCTCAATTGGTGTCTGCCGCTGAGAATGTAGGGTTCTTCTCTGTCATTGATCACGGTATCACTCCCCAGGAGATCGACGAGATATTCGCTCAGTCAGCTCGATTCTTTGACCTACCAGACGAAACGAAGGCGCAAGTTCCCTTTTCTTCAGCAAACAATGCTGGGTGGGAGAAGAATTCGCAAGTCCGGCCGTCAACGGGTGCTGCTGATAGAAAAGAGTCGTACCAGATGCAGTTCGGCGCAAACATGGAGGGCAAGTGGCTCGATGACTCCGCTTTGCCAGGTTTCAAAGACTCGGCTCTGAAATTTATGTGGAAGGCACAAGGAGTTTCAGAGAAACTAATGACTTGTTTCGCCAGAGGACTGGGTTTCGAGGATGATTACTTTATCAAAGCTCACGATGTGAAGAGGTCGGAGAGCCAAACAGTGGCCAGACTCTTGCATTATTTCGAAACCCCTAAAGAGAATAAAAGCGGGGAGGTCTTCCACCGTGCAGGAGCCCATACTGATTGGGATCTATTGACGCTTTTATTCCAGAAAGAGGGACAGAGTGGCCTCGAGGTATGGTTCTTATGCTGCCGAGATAGACGCAATCTTGGCTGACCTTCTGACCTACAGATCTGCCCAGGCCGCGAGGCCTCCACATCCTTCGCCCACGGAGACACTTGGACGAAGGTGGCTCCATCTCAAGACGCCATCATCTGCAATATTGGCGACCTCCTGATGTCCTGGTCCGATGACCGGTTCAAGTCGACCTTTCACCGCGTCAAGGCACCCAGCGAGCCCGATGATTTTTACGGTGAACGCTACAGCATTGCCTTTTTCAATCAGCCATGCAGAGATGTCATCATCCAAGGTCCGCTGAAGAAGTACCCTGTGGTGACAGGAGAAGAATTTACACGGAATGCGATGCGCAGGAATTTTGAGGCTTTGGAGAAGAAGCGACTCGAAAAGGAGAAGTTGGAGGAAGAAATGGAAAAGGTCCGAAAGCTGGTGGAGCGCGAGGGTATCAGGGGTGCGAGTGTCGAGAGTGGTGGTAAGGTCGTTGCTGAGATTGGCGCTTGACTGGGGTCGTTCGTCGGACAACGTTATCGATTTTTTGCGAATAGAAAACCTCACAGAGAGAGACCTCAAGCGATTGGGTGTATTGTCGGTGCTTTTACCATTTGTTCTGTCTCGTTACCAGCACGGCAATTGTCCTATCGCCCACCATGGTAGGTAGAAGAATAAACGGACGGTGCCATATTCTCGAAAGTCTATACGGGGCACCTATCAAACAGAGATATGTAATTCGGACCGGAGCACATTTGATAGTAGAGGGCCTGGTGGTTCATAACTCTCTCACACTTTCTCTCCAGGCGCTTTCCCTTTCTATGCCCTACATGCCTTTACTCTCATCGCTTCTCCTTAGTACGACATATCCCAGGGTACCTCGGTAAG